TGCTCCCTCTTCCCGCCTGCGTTCTCCCCTGCAGTGCTCCCTCTTCCTGTCTGCGTGCTCCTCCCCCCTCCGCTCCTGTGCTCCCTCTTCCCACCTGTGCGCTCAGCCCGCCCTGCCTTCCCCGCCCCCCTGCAGCGCTTCCTCCTGCGAGGGCCACTTTACTTCCCTGTCTCTGAAATGTTTCGCTTCACCCGGTTTCAAAGGACTCCTTTTTTGCTATCCATGGAGCTCTCGATGGGCAGTGCTTGTCCCCAGCACCTCAACGCCGTTGCCGCTTCTGTGCCGCTTCTGATGAGAAGTCAGCAGTTTCCTTCTCCTTCTTTTTTATTTGTTTTAATTTTTTTAACGTTTATTCATTTTTGAGAGACAGAGCGTGAGCGGGGGAGGGGCAGAGAGGGCGACCCAGAATCCCAAGCAGGCTCCGGGCTCCGAGCTGTCAGCACAGAGCCCGACGCGGGGCTCGAACCCATGATCCGTGAGGTCGTGACCTGAGCTGAAGTCGGAGGTTGAACACACTGAGCCCCAGCCGCCCCCCCCCCCCCCCCAGGCACCCCTGGTGTCTTTTCTTAAAACCAGGTTTTGGAAGCTTGTCCATCGTGTGTTCAGCACATTGTTGTGCTTTGATTTCATCCCTCCTCCCGAGGGTGACCTTACCTGTGTGTTAGACTGTCAGATACCGGCTCACAGGCTCTTCTCATTTTTTCCTCACTCTCGCTTCTCCTGCAGGTTAGATAATTTCCCTCGACGTGGATTCACTTTCACACGCTATTACTTCGTCGTCGGTCCGCCGTCGGGACCTCCCAGTGGATATTTCATTTCCAAGTGCTGTGCTTCGTGGTTCGAATTCCCGGTTTTTAAAGCAGTTTCCATTTACCTGCTAACGTTCCGTGTCCATTCACTCACAAAAGTAATATTTTCCTTTAATTCTTTGAACATCTGTTCCTTCGATTCTTGAAACATCTACAGTCGCTGCTCCACAGTCATTGCCCAGCCACTGTCCGGGCCATCTCGGGTTTCACGACTATTGATTGATTTGTTTCCTTAACTGGTGGATTGCATTTTCTCTGCCTCTTGTGGCCAGGGGTTTTGTTGTTGTATATTGCAATTAATTATGGTGATACATTTAGAAGGCCTGCATTCTCTTTTCCTGCCTATTCACTTTGGTTCTGGGTGATCGCCAGTTATTAATTGATCATGTTGAACTTGAGCGGGTTTTACACCTGCTCAGGGTGGCTCTGCGGGAAGCCCAGGGGGATTACTAAGCTCCTTGTCTTGGTGGGGGTAGAATTCCAACCGTCTTCTCTGGAAATGTTGCCACCGGTTGGCTTTGTTGGGGCAGGCCCAGAGTAGGGCTTCCTGTGGGTCTGGTCGCTGCTCTGGACGCCTGACTGTGTGGGGTCCTAGCAGCATGTGGGGGCTCCCCCTCCGTCCTACAGCACACGCTCAATGTTAAGCCTCTGGTGGTGTTGCCCCGAGCACAGACAGCCCTGCCACCTTGGACACATTTACAGCAGCGTCTCACGCAGACTCACGCACGTTCCCTCCCTCCTGATGGCCCACTCCTGGGATTCTAGCTGCTTCTGCTGCCCGAGCGCGGGGGGGGCCTTCCTCCTCGGCAAGCGGGCCATCGTGTTCTGCGAAAACCCCAGCCCACTGAACGGCCTTCGGGATGCTGGCCTGGGCAGAGCCGGGAGAAGGCCGAGCGTCTCTCGTGTGCACTCTTCCTCTCGGCAGCCGGTCTGTGCCGGTCGGACCGGCCGCGGCCCGAAGACGGAAGGCTCGTCGCTGTTCTTGGGTCGTGTCGTTGAGGGAGCGCTAGACTACCAGCGCTCCGCGGGTTTCCCCGGTATCGTTCCGTTCTCCAGACTCAACGCTTGTCTGTTCTGGGAGGTTCCTGGTCCACACAGCAAAGGCTGTGGCTTGAGGAGCCCTGCAGGTGTCATTCCTGTCTGCCTCGGTGTGGGCCCCACGGAGACAGGCAGCTACCAGGCTCTCTTACCCACCTATCGCTGCTAGAACGGTTGGAGGACGTGGCTAGGTGTGTGGCTGCTGAGACAGAACCAGGCAGACTCCTGTCAGGGACAGCCTGTCCTGGAAAACCGTAGATGACACCCCCCGCCCAAAAGAGGTCACGGTTTTACGCTGAGATTGCCCCGTCCAGGCAGACCCCCGCCGGCGCTCTCTGCAGGCGGGCGGCCCCAGAGTCTGCAAGCAGAAAGGAGTGGGGGGGGGGGAGCACTGACGGACGTCTGTCCTCACGGAGGAGACCTCGGAGTGGGGAGCGGTGTCTCCCTGACAACCAGGGAGGCCCACGAGTGTTTGTCTGGGCCCGGATGCGTGTGCCTCTGTGGGGGTGCCTGCACCTCCCTGAGCTGTGTGTCCATCTTTGGGGCCGTGCGCCAGAAAATTCTCGTAAACCGGTCCTGAGTCTTGTGATGCAGCAGCCTCCTGCAGAAGCGTTTTCAGAAACGCCATCAAGTTCTCGGGGTGTTCTCACTGTCGGCAGGGCGGGGGGCATGCAGGTGGCCGGAGAGACCTCGGATTCTTTGTAGGAAAGGCATGGAGGTCCTCCAAAGGCGCTCTCTGGAGTTCATAGGCCAGAGCCCCGAGGAGGGTGGGGAGTGCTCCTCCAGGCCGGCTTTCAGGGCCGAGACGTCAGGCGAGAGCCCCAGGGAGGAGAGGAAGACCCACCGCTGACTCAGCCCGTCACCCGGGTCCCAAGTGACCCTGTGTGTCCATCCGCAGTCCCCCGGCCCCCACGCGCTTCCCGGGGACGCCCCTGCTTCCTGTAGGGCCGCACCCCTGTGCAGCGGATGCCCTGGCCTTGTGCAGCCTGCTTCTCTAATGATGAGGTTTTTCTCACGGCGAGGATCAGAGGTCACTGCCCGCCAGGAGTTCTCCGTGACCCGTGCCCTCAGTCCACACCCGTGCTGTGGGCCAGTGGTCACCGTGTCCTTCCCGCGTACCGGCCGCCGCGTGACCTCCAGCTTCTGGGACACTCAGACGTGAGCCCGACACTCTCGATCTCCCCGTGTCTGCCCCGGAGCCTTCCTGACGGGCAGAGGCTGTTCGGGGACGTCATCGTGCACAGAGGGAGGTCGGGAGGTCTGCGTTTTCAGATTCACGCAAACGTGGCTCGTGTGAAATGGTGAGGAACGAGGCGCCAGTAACACACTCGGGCAGGTTTCCAAGTGCAACACGAGCGTGGGGAGGGGCAGTTAGTCACGCGGGCGAGCGCCAAACAAACAAAACACGTGCAACAGAAAACTAAGTTCTGGGAGACGGCCCGGAAGCAGCACAAACCAGGAAGACAACTGTTGTGTCCCGTGTTGCCAGGACGCCCACGGCCCGGTATAAAGGCGGTCCAGGCAAGGAGCCTCCAGACATCCCCGCCCTCCTCCCTCCCGGACACCGGCCGAGCCCCACGCCAACATGTGCCACACCAGCTGCTCCGCGGGCTGCCAGGCTTCCTGCGGCTCCTCTGGCCCCTGCCAGGCGTCCTGCTGTGTGCCCGTGAGCTGCAAGCCCGTGTGCGTGCCCGTGAGCTGCAGACCCGCCGTGTGCATGCCCGTGAGCTGCAAGCCCGTGTGTGTGCCCTCCTGCCAGTCCTCCGTGTGCGTGCCCGTGAGCTGCAGGCCCGTGTGTGTGCCCTCCTGCCAGTCCTCCGTGTGCGTGCCCGTGAGCTGCAGGCCCGTGTGTGTGCCCTCCTGCCAGTCCTCCGTGTGCGTGCCCGTGAGCTGCAAGCCCGAGTGTGTGCCCTCCTGCCGGCCCTCCTGCCCCACCCTGGTCTGCAGACCCGTGTGCTGTAGCTCCCCGTGCTGCTTCTGACCAGGGGTCTCCTAACTCCTGCTCCGGGGGCAGAGGGGGCCCCACCCATGCCCCTCCGGTGAGGACCAAGTCTTCGCCGGGCCTCCGGTTCTGCGCGTGGCAGGTCAAACATTCCCGATGAATCGTCTGAACCCTGGGGCGAGGACGGAGCAGGACGAGCCGGATCCCCCTGTGACCCTGCGTGTCTCTGCCAGGGTCCTTCTCTGTCTCCGGCAGGGAACCCAGCCCGTGTGAGCCCAATAAATCGTGCCTTCCTGAGGCAGCTTTCTACTCCTGTCTCTCTGTTTCTATGTTTCCTGCCCACTGAGTCGGCGCTGCGGAGCGGGGAGGGCTAATCCCCTCCTCAAGGTGGCTCGTCCGCGCTGGGGGCTGCCGGTGGAGGGAGTGGCCGCCAGCCTCAGGCCCCCGTGATCCGTGGCCCGGTGCGTGTGGCCGCGGCCAGCGACTCGCCCTTTTCCAAGGCCGCTCCTGCTTCCCCTGGCTGTCAGTTCCGGCCCTCAGTTCATGATTCACTTGTGTCGCTGGTCCACGTGCGGCCCAGTGTTAATTGACTGATGATCAGTTATTATTATAATAAACCCCACGAACCCACTACCCAGCGTGGAAGCTAGAGCACCGTCGGTAATTCACCCCGGGCTTCTCAGGGAAACCGCTGTTAGAATCGTGTGCTACCTTCTAAAAAAGAGAGCGGAGTCACCTCTGCGTGGCCCTGAAGCGCGTGTTTTCTCATGCAGGGCTCTGAGGGACGTCGGAAGGTATTGTCCTGCACTCCTGGCCTCGGACTCGCTTTCTTCACTCCGAGCACTGTTGCTAGGATTTCTCTCGGGTCCCGCGTCGTGTCGTGTGTCCTCTTGACCCTTCCCGCCTGCTCCATGCTGGGGCTGTTTCGGCTGAAACCTGTTCCCGTAGATGGGCAGGTGTGGGTGCCAAGGGAACGGGGGACCGGAGGGCCTGGCCGTGGACTGTCCATGCCCTCCTTTGGCACCTGTGACCTTTCCGTTTGGGGCAGCCGACCGCCCGTCCCCCGGCAAGGCTCTCTGTCTGTCTGGCAGTGTCTCAGGCTGGTGGGCAGGTACATGGGAGCCTGCTCCACCCCCCCGGGAACACGCACTTGCCGCAAGCCCCGGACTACGGTGGAGAGGCAGGGACACCGGCTTCTCACCCACCTTGTCTCCAAAGCCACTGCACCTCCATGCCTGGTTTCTGGGGGTTATTTTGTAATGAATTTTCTGAGTCGGAGAAGTGGGTGCGTTTGAGACCCACCGGCAGTGTAGTCTGCCGCCACCTCCCCCCACCCCCGCCGCCCCCCGGCTTTGCTCCCAGCTGAGGTCGAGAGGCCTGCACTGCGGACAGGAGCCTGGCTGCCCTCCCACCCCAGGGATGGCTTCCGGAGCCTCAGTCCTTCCTCCTCACCCAGCTCTGCAGTGACTAGATGTCACAGTACCTGGATCCTGCCCAACCCCACCCCCAGGCCCCGTTGTCCCTGAGCTCCCGAGGAGGCCAGTGGGGGCCGGGAGGCAGGTCAGCTCTCTGGATGTGGCTCTTTTTTTTTTTTAATTTAAATTTTAGTTAACATGCAGTGCAATATTGGTTTCAGGAGTAGAATTCTTTGATTCATCCCTTACATACAACACCCAGTGCTCATCACAAGTGTCCTCCTCAGTGCCCATCACCCACTTAGCTCCTCCCCCACCCACCTCCCTCCATTCCCCGCCAGCTCGTTCTCCGTCATTGAGAGTCTCTTGTGGGGGTGCCTGGGGGGCTCAGTTGGTTAAGTGTCTGACTTCAGTTTAGGTCACGATCTCCTGGTTCATGGGTTTGAGCCCCTTGTCGGGCTCTGTGTTGACAGCTCAGAGCCTGGAGCCTGCTTCAGATCCTGTGTCTCCCTCTCTCTCTCTCTCTGCCCCTCCCCTGCTCATGTTCTGTCTCTCTCTGTCTCTCAAAAATGAATAAATGATAAAAAAAATTTTTTTAAAGAGTCTGTGGTTTGTTTCCCTCTCTTCTCTTCACCCCCTTCATATGTGTTCATCTGTTTTGTTTCTACATATGAGTGAAATCATACAGTATGTGTCTTTCTCTGACTGACTTATTTCACTTCGCAAAATACACTTTAGCTCCATCCATGTAGTTGCAAATGGCAAGATTTCATTCCTTTTCATTGCTGAGTAGTATTCCATTATATATATATATATATATATATATATATACACATATATATATATATATATCACATCTTCTTTATCCATTCGTCACTGGATGGACATTTGGACTCTTTCCATAATTTGGCTGTTGTCAATAGTGCTGGTATAAATATCGGGATGCGTGTGCTCCTTTGAATCAGCATTTTTTGTATCCTTCGGGTAAATACTCAGTAGTGTGATTACTGGGTCGTAGGGTAGGTCTATTTTCAACTTTTTGAGGAACCTCCATACTGTTTCCAGAGTGGCTGCACAAGTTTGCATTCCCACCAGCAGTGCAAGAGGGTTCCCCTTTCTCCACATCCTCGCCAACACCTGTTGTTTCCTGAGTGGTTAATGTTGGTCGTTCTGACAGGTGTGAGGTGGTATCTCATTGGGGTTTTGATTTCTATTTCCCTGATGATGAGTGATGTGGAGTATTTTTTCATGTGTCTGTTGGCCATCTGGATGTCTTCTTTGGAGAAGTGTCTGTTCATGTCTTTTGCCCATTTCTTCACTGGATATTTGTTTTTTGGGTGTTGAGTTTGAGAAGTTCTTTATAGATTTTGGATACTAATCCTTTATCTGACATGTCGTTTGCAAATATCTTCTTCCATTTTGTCGGTTGCCTTTTAGTTTTGCTGATTGTTTCCTTCGCTGTGCAGAAGCTTTTTATCTTGATGAGGTCCCGATAGTTCATTTCTGCTTTTGTTTCCCTTGCCTCTGGAGACATGTCAAGTAAGAAATTGCTGAGGCCGAGGTCAAAGAGGTTGCTGCCTATTTTCTCCTCTAGCATTTTGATGGTTTCCTGTGTCGTATTTAAGTCTTTCATCCATTTTGAGTTTATGTTTGTATATTTTTATTTTTGTGTAAGAAAGCGGTCCAGGTTCATTCTTCTGCATGTCGCTGTCCAGTTTTCCCAGCACCACTTGCTGAAGAGACTGTCTTTATTCCATTGGATATTTGTTCCTGCTTTGTCAAAGATTAGTTGGCCATACGTTTGTGGGTCCATATCTGGGTTCTCTATTCTGTTCCATCGGTCGGAGTGTCTGTTTTGGTGCCAGTACCATACTGTCTTGATGATGACAGCTTTCTAATACAGCTTGAAGTCTGGGATTGTGATGCCTCCAGCTTTGGTTTTCTTTGTCAGGAGTCCTTTGGCTGTTTGGGGTCTTTTCTGGTTCTGTGGATATGGCTTTTGAGTCCTGGAGGCACCAGTACTTCCAAGGGCAGTCTCACTACTGGCCATCTGAGATTTCCAGCCCCTTTAGTCTTCCTTAGGGACAGGTGATAAACTTAGAGCTGCAGAACTGCTTTTACGACCTTTTAGCTGCACGGACTGGAACCTATTACATTGTTTGAATTTGGGGGACTTTGGTAAACTGAGCCAGTTGACTCGGATGTATGTAGACATGCACCCACGTACTTGCATACGATGTATGTATGCACACACACACACAGTATATATGTATGCCCCGTGCACACACCAGTGTATATCCCTCGTACACACATGCACACACATGCACGAGGCATCTGGTTTCCCCAGCCAGCAGTGGGAGGTGAAACCCACAGAGTAGAGATGGGGTGCGGACAGTGACGTAACAACGCCCCCTGAAGCTCCTCCCCAGAGGCCCCGCTCAGCCTGCTCAGAGCCTATGGGACCCTCAGGCCACTCGGAGCCTCTGTTCTGTGGTGCTGCTTTTCCACATCGGGCATGTCTTAGGAATGAGGTTTTACAACATGAGAAACCAAAGAGGAGAATGGAGATCTGACAAATGTATTAATTAGGAAAAGGTCCTCCAGGAAAGTGCGATTTTCTTCAAAGCCACGATAAAGGGAAGAAAATGAGCAAGTCCGAAATGGGGCCTGTGGGCTGTGTTTCCACCCGCCCCGGGAAGGAGGTCTGTGGAGAGGGGAGGCAGGTGTGGGTCAGGACGGGACAGATCTCGCTGGGCTCCTTGATGTGACCGGAGTGGTTCCTCCAGGACCTGGAGGCCGGGAACGGATGTCCTGCAGCAGGTGGGGGCACCAAAGGGGACAGGCGTGCAGGCGAGGGCAGGGCAGGAGGACTGTCATACACAGGGCCACCCGCACCTCACGGGGCACACACGTGTGTGTACACATGTGCACACACACCCAGCTGCCCACAAGGGCACACATACATACGCGTGTGGGCACACACCGGGCACACATGTACGCACAGGTGCACACAAGGGCACACACATGCATGCACATGCACACACACACACGGCACTCACACACTGCGCTGTGCTTATCGGGTCCCTTGTCACACTGGCTGATGGGAATTCCCATGAAGCTCACAGTGTAGGCAGGACACAGGACACAGGACGCCGGTTTGGGAACCTTTGGCTACTTTGCCGTGTGAGAGGCACATGGTGAGAAAAGGCTGCTGGCAGAGTCCAGAGAAGGGAAAAGAGTTTTACTGGGTTAGAAAGGCCTCCCTAGCGCCCCCCACAGGAACCCTACTTGAGGCTGGGGTGGTCGCCGCAGGGTGTT